GCCATTACTACACAGCTGAAACTGCTTCAGCAAGTCAGGAAGAGAGCCCTTTAAAAAAATATATGTTTATTTTTTAAATGTTTATTTATTTATTTTAAGGGGGAGAGGGACAAAGAGAGAGGGAGAGAGAGAATCCCAAGCAGGCTCCATGCTGTCAGCACAGAGCCAGATGCTGGCTGGATCTCACGAACCATGAGATCATGACCTGAGCTGAAATCAAGCGTTGGACGCTTAACCAACTGAGCCACCCAGGCGCCCCAAGCCTGAAGTCTTACTAGACTGTGTCTAAATGCTTGACTCCTGAGTTGGGAAGAAAGGAAAAGAAAGAGGACTTGAGTGCGGAAAACAAGAGTCCTCCGGCACCAAAATGAATAAAGAGAAGTTACCCGAAACTAGAGCCTCCCTAGCCCGGGGAGAAGATAGGAGAAAAACAGAGGGCCCTGGAATTCCTGAAGCAGAGAACACCTCTGTCCTGCTTTCTGAGCATGCAACCTGGAAGACAGCAAGATTCCAGGGAGAGAACAGCCATACGGTATCTCTTGACAGTCATGTTCATTAGCAGTCTTGCAGAGACCCTTATATCCTCAGTTTGATACAGCAGTATGAGATAAACTAGACCCAGAGAGGGATGGGAACAGGCTAGGAGGAATTCCTCAGCAGGAGAGAACTGGTGAACCAATGATGAAGAATCAGACCTCCTTCTTGTGCCCACCACCCAAACACCTGGGCACTACATGAAATTCGAGAACTGTGGCACGACTTTGTGTGGAGAGTAGTGGGGTCAGGGGAGTCCAAGAAGGACTGAGGTTAAGTTTCCTATTAGCCTACTAGGATGGCAGACTGAAACGGTAATTAATTTGTTCTGAAAATAAGGTGATATTTTGGGGTGCCTGGGTGGCTTTGTTGGTTAAGTATCTGACTTCGGCTCAGGTCATGATCTCATGGTTTGTGAGTTCAAGCCCCGTGTCAGGCTCTCCACTGACAGCTCAGAGCCTGGAGCCTGTTTCAAATTCTGTATCTCCCTCTCTCTGCCCCTCCCCCACTGTGTTCTCTCTCTCTCTCTCTCTCTCTCTCCCTCCCCCACCCCTCTCAAAAGTAAATAAGCATTTTTTAAAATTTCCTAATTAGCCTACTAGGACGGTGGCATGAAATGGAAATTACTTTGTTCTGAAAATAAAGTGATGTTTCTTGTGCACCTGAATTTATGATAACGCCAGCTGTAGCATAAGTACTCATAGAGGAAAGACTCTAGAATTAAAAGAATTAAGTCCAGGGAAGAAAGAGGATCGGAGATTTGCTACAAGGATTTGGGGGCCAGTGACTTGTAGCACTGAGATCTTTCCTTTCCATTTGTCTCTCTCTTCTCATGCTATCTCCTCCCCTACCCACATTTTGCCCCACCCTGAGTATGAAAGAGAGATTAAAATAACTTGAATTTCACATTCATTGTTGGTCATATTTTTTTTATTTATGGTTCTAATTCAGAACATTAATTCTTCCCCGTCGAGGAAATCAGATTTTGGAAGCGTATATGCAAAAAACTTCAAGACTTGTGAAAACTCACTCTCGAATACCCCTGGGCATGATTCAGAGGCTGACTGAGGGAAGGGCTGAATCTTTGGGTTTAGAGCATTGCTGTGGTCTGGCAATAAGAAGCTAGGAAAATTGGCTTCCGGAAGAGGAAGAACTTCACCTTTCTTTAGTGGAGAGAGTCGGTAAACATATCCAATTTGTCTCCAGTGGAAGTGAAAGTGTCTCTTACCTGGACTTCTTTGTTCTGAGTGCCTAGATGGTGGGCCATGACGGTGGTGATGGTGATCTTGGGGATCCTCACTATGCGGTGGTGGGTCACAAGGTCCATGGTCAAGGAAATCATGGCCATGGGGATGGTGTCCATGGGGATGGTGTCCATGGGGGTGATGTCTATGGGGGTGATGCCCATGAGGAGGGGGTCCATGCGGATGGTGTCCATGGGGGTGATGCCCATGAGGTGGGGGTCCATGGGGATGGTGTCCATGGGGGTGATGGCCATGAGGAGGGGGTCCATGGGGATGGTGCTTACTGGAACTATGATTATGAGGGTGTCCGTGGGTCCTATTGGTGCCAAAATGGGGATAATGACATTTTAACTCTGGAACAGGTGAAACTTGGGGGGCTTCTGCCTGAAATGGTGGTCTGTCTGTTTGACTTTTGTCTTCTAGAGGAGGAAGACATCCAAGTTCATGTGGCTTGTGGGGATGGTGGTGATCTCTAAATTCATCAGGCTTAAATGGAGGCTTGCCGGCAAGAGAATGCTCATGCCCCCCAGGGTGGAGGGGATGGCTGAAATGCTGTTGTATGCCACTGATGTTTCTACCATTCTATTAAAGGATACAGAAAAGTGAATATTATTACGGAACACAAAAGAAGTTAGATGCACAACTTGATTTAGACCTAGGGCCTGCAGACTTTTGTATTCCACAATTCCACTTTTAAAAATAGGATAGCAAAACAGTATTCTCAAGCTTTTATCCCCCCAAGTTGACACTTGAAATACAAAGACTGTCATCTACCGCCATCATTATTTCACAATAGTAATATTTTGATAACACAAGAGTCAGAAAGATAATCTCAGAGTAAAGAGTGGTTCTTCAGATGGAATAAATGTTGTATTAGGAAACAGTATTTATTATCCCCATTTTTCGCATTTCAGCATAAAATGGTGAAATGATATTCTAGATGGTATTCATCTGTAGATCAACATTTGGAAAACTAGTGCCTTATACTTAATAACCTCAACAGAGTTCTGAGGCTTTATGGTACAAGCATCTCTTAGTCTTAAAGGATGAGTACTTCCCCTCTTCCCTCTCCTCCTTCTTCGGATTTTAATTTAAAAAAAAATCTGTGGATGCGATGCCTGGATGGCTCAGTCAGTCAAGCATCTGACTTCAGCTCAGGTCATGATCTCACAGTTCATGAGGTCGAGCCCCACGTCAGGCTCTGTGCTGACAGCTCGGAGCCTGGAGCCTGCTTCCGATTCTGTGTCTCCC